GTATACACGCGTACATGTATACACGTGTATACGCGTATATACGTGTATACACGCGTACATGTATACACGTGTATACGCGTATATACGTGTATACACGCGTACATGTATACACGTGTATACGCGTATATACGTGTAAATACATGTATATACGTATGTATTTATATATGTGTATGTATACGTGTGTATGTATATACATACACAAAGGCATTTTAAAGCCTTCCCACACTGTTGCAACGCTGTAAATGCTCTAAAAGAGCGCATTGTATCAAACCTCCACTCTCCGCTGCAGCATGGTCTAAATAATTTATTTTAAATAAAAATTCCATGTGGCTTGTGAATTCTTGTGGCTCATCAATCAGCCAATTGTGTGTCATGTCCAAGCTTACTTTGAAAAAACATGATAGAGCTAGTCCGTGAAAAACAAGCCGTGAAGTAGCGAGGGACTACAGTATTATTTTATTTACACTTAAATAGTTTAGTTACACTGGAGGTGATGAGTGTGACTGCAACAGAGAGGAGGTCATGCTCTGCTCTTCTACAGTTTAGAACGTCACAAGAGTGTGGGAAAGGTTTATAAAACCTTAATATATACAATAATAAATAAATATAACGTCCCTACTTTGTGGTTTCTCACTAATTGCGGTAGTGTGTTTAATGTAACCCCCGTGATAATAAAGGTCTTACCTGGTGCAGATAGAGCTGGTCCACATCAGATGGTTGTGGTGCGACATGTTCAAAGTCTCAGGACTCTTCGAGCCTCGTTCAGTCCGGGTTGATCAACCTGCAAAGATCTTTTACTTTAGTTTTAAGACGCGCAGGGTGACCTTTAATACGTCTAAACTTCTTTAACTGTCAAAGTACAGATTATAAACAGGGACGTTTTGCTGATTCTGACCCGTGTTCTGGCTTCAGGGCGGTCCAGGAGAACCCGGTAGTGAGGATGAGTATGTGGAAGGAGGTGCCAGCCTCGGGGATGTACGTGGGTGTGAGGAGGTGAGTTAATCATCTAATCTCACCTGTAATATCAGATGTGTTTCTCATTAAAGGGACAATACAACCATTTTACAGTGATGTTCTGTCAACCATTACCTCATCAGTCAGCACAAGACACCCATTCATTGTAATATGTATGGCAGGCTGTGTTGCAATATAATCAAATTACACCTGATTCCATGCTCAGAGCAGACGTTTTGTAAGCATCTTAGAGTATTTAGAAATGTGCTATACAAATAAAATGTATTACTATTAAATCTTTTTAGTCAAAATGAAGCAAAATAAACAGAAATTATAAATTTTACATCTATTCAACTAATCAGCTGGACAAACAATTTTATTACAGTTTACAATTCCAGAAATGTGATTTGATTATATGGTAAAACAGTGTGCCATACATTGTGTTGTTTAACTGCACAAAAGGTTCTTCATATAAAACATACTAATATTAGAGAACGTCAGCTAAAAGTAAACTTCTGCAGTCGTGGATGTTTGTCTGCTGAGGGGTCCAGAAGTTCACCCCAGTCCTGGTGGACCGGTTCTGTCGGCTTAAAACCGTTTCTGATGAGGACTCTGCTACAAACTGAAGAAGGTTCAAGGAGCTGGGACAGTGGAGCCTCAGGGAGTCTTTAGAAAAGGATTTCTGACTTGGCACAGAAACTACAAACCTCCACATGAAACTACAAACGCTCTTTACTGGATTTAAAAAAGTTGAAAACTAAAAGGAGCGTATAATTTCTGGTAACAAGTTCCTCCTGATAAGATTTTCCACACAAAGAGAAATCTAGATCAAACGGTGCGGCACATTTATATTATTTACAAATCTCGATTAATGCGCACTCTCCTTTTAAATAAATTATTCATTTTAGGTTGCTTGTTTTAACCATAAAACATTTTGGAGTCCAGAAATGTTTCTGTGCAAAGTTACAAATCTTTTTCCAAAAACTCAGAGAGGCTCAGATGTCCCAGCTTTTCAGCAGCCTTGAACGCAGCATTACCTTTGGGAAAAGTCTGAGTAGTCAGGCAGTTGATCCGACCACAGCAGGTGAAAGTGCACAGAATATTCCTACTTGAGCAATTTGAAAAGTGTACATTGAACAACTATATATGTGTTTAAAGACCTGAATAAGACGGGACTCGTTTCGAAGACCCGAATAAGACGGGACTCGTTTTAAAGACCCGAATAAGACGGGACTCGTTTCAAAGACCCGAATAAGACGGGACTCGTTTTGTTTTAAAGACCTGAATAAGACGGGACTCGTTTTATTTTAAAGACCTGAATAAGACGGGACTCGTTTTAAAGACCCAAGAAGACGGGACTCGTTTTAAACACCCGAATAAGACGCGACTCGTTTTAAAGACCCGAATAAGACAGGACTCGTTTTAAAGACCCGAATAAGACGGGACTCGTTTTGTTTTAAAGACCTGAATAAGACGGGACTCGTTTTGTTTAAAAGACCTGAATAAGACGGGACTCGTTTTGTTTTAAAGACCTGAATAAGACGGGACTCGTTTTGTTTTAAAGACCTGAATAAGATGGGACTCGTTTTGTTTTATAGACCTGAATAAGACTGGAATCGTTTTAAAGACCTGAATAAGACGGGACTCGTTTTGTTTTAAAGACCTGAATAAGACGGGACTCGTTTTAAAGACCTGAATAAGACGGGACTCGTTTTAAAGACCTGAATA